ATGTACCCTGACACTTCGTAAACGCCAACGAGAAAAGAGTGTTGGTAGTCTGTTCCAGGCGCCATCCGGCCCCATCACAGCGCACAGGCGCTGGGCACTGTCACGGAGCCCCAGGGATCCAGCCGCCCAAACCCGCAGGGAAAACCGAACTGGGAAAACCCTGCAGGCACGTGTTTAAAGAAACAGAAGGTTGTTTCACCAACTTACATTTTGTTGCGTGACACAGCTGAGGTATCACGTACTGTAATTAAGGTCACCAAATAAAAGCCTTGCTTAAAGACTTTTGGAACCTGGAAAATTATCTAGAACAGTGTGACTTGGTGGTAGGAACCCTGATGATAGGAGATTTTGCATCTCTATCCTGACTGGACTCTGTTCTGAGTGGGTTGCACTGATGAAGGAGTGACTTCTCCGGGCGATCACCCCATTCCCTCTCAGAAGGGAACACTTCACAATCACGACCTTGAACGTGCCACAAATACTACCTGACCTCCTGTGCCTGTCTGCAGTCCAACAAGTAAACCCAGTCACTCCCCGAAGTTTAAAATGTGCCGTCTCACTGCCATCAGACCCTATGACTTTCATTTCAGATATTGAATATCTAAGGGTGGGAGACTATTTTGTTTTCCCAAACAACCTTCCGTATTGTGATGGGCTCAGAGACCTTAGGTCCTGGCTCTAGTTTTCTCGTGCCAATGCAGTTCGTGACAAATATTGGATGTGGCATTCTTGGAGATTTGAAGATCAGGAGAAGTCAAATCCTCATTTATAATCAAATCTGGAGACTCAGTCGATGGGCTCTCGGTCCCATGCCAAACTTTTCTATCTAAAAAGGTTGGGTAAACTATATAAATATAATTATATTGAAACCAAAACTGGAAAATGGAATGAGAAATCACTGGATACAAAAAGAGAAGAAATTCGAAGCTGAGTGGAAAACAGGAGTTGATCCACGGGGCCATCAGACCCCGATATAATCCCAGGCCCTGGGTAGGGGAGGCGGGTTGGGGCTTTAACAACATGTGGTTCCTGTATTCCAACCTCAGGCAGGCAGAGAGTTAAGATAGAGCCAAATACTTTAAGGAACTGCCAAATCCACAAACAGAGGACTAGAAATTGGCAAAAAATCTACTATATTTACGTCCTTCTCAAACACAATTTACACTCAGTTGGAAAAGGCCCAAGCAAAGGGTCTCTTGGCACCAGAAGACTCAGCATCTTTACTAAGTAATGGTATTTCTGACCCTCGCCTAAATCATGCATTCTTTTAAAGTGAGGATTAAGACAACGCAGGTGAAGTCAAGTTTTCACTTCTGTTTCTGCTACACATGAGGTGTGACTCATCATCCACGGTATCTGTCCTTGGTTTCCCGGTTACGATTCTCTGACCGTGATCATAAATACTCCAGATCTCTCATCAAGAAATCATAGGGGCGGGGTTCCCCCAAATAATGTTTACAAGGGGAATCCATAGGGCTCAGGCAAAAACGGTTTGTTAGTAATCAAACTGTTTTGCTTCGACTATAAAATAATTAAGAACAGGCTCAGCACTATTTGCAGAGTTCGTCAATCCAAGCTTTTGATTTCACCGTCAGGAGTCCTATGTGGGGAAATAAAGCTGCAACCGTATTGTCAATCTGAAGCTTTCGAGGGTTCTTGGAAGACCTAACATTGTGTCCATCCATGACAGATGACTCAATAATGACCAAGAAGGAGGTTCTTCGCATTCTCGGTGGGAACGGCTTAGTGCTGACCAAGCATCTGTGGATGTGTGGCCTCCATCACCACCCTTCACTTACAGACACTTCTGTAGTCTACAGGTACTATACAAGGTTGCTGTGGAAACATCTCTGCTCCCCATTTTCAATGAAGACCTTGATTTCTGTTTCCCAATATTATCTTAACGAGAAAAATAGTCGTGATAGTGAGTATTACTGACTCTAGGCTAGGACTTGTGATCATGTGATTCATGTACTTCACTCATTCATTATTTGCAGATCAGAAAACAAAGACTCTCTGAGCCTAAGTAACCTTTCCAAGGTCGTGCATTAAGAAGATTAGAGAAGGTATGAGAGCCCAGGTGTGTTTGACTCAGATAAGGCATTGGTTTTATCTCATGTAACCTCTGCCTCTAACAGTAGAAGTCGGTGTTGGGAATAGAGGAGCCCATGGAAGCCCACATTCATGATATAAATACTCCACAGTGATGCTAACATTCTAATAGGGAAAAGACTGCATTTGTTGATTGTATCCATCTATAAATGTGGTCTATAGTGGACACTTTAACAGTATACATCATTCAATACTCACAATATCCTAAAAACTAGCTTATTATTCCCATAGCTAACTGTTCCCATTTTACAGTCCTTGGTCCCATCTTACTGTTAAAGGCATTCAGGCTCAGGATAATTAAGTGATTTTTCATAAATTCATGGAGAAAATAAGTAGCTGGGTTCTAGTCCAGATGCTTGATGCTAAATCGTGCTGCCACCTTATAAATGCATCCTGAAGGTTACTTTCATACTAAGTCTATGTACACAAAACATGTTCATATTCTTTCATGGACATGCGCAATCTGTATTTTGTATTATGGAGTGGCCTGAATCAAAATAATAAAAACATCTCCCAAAAAAGTAAAATTCATTTATTTATGCATATAAATATATGTTACTATTTATTTATAATTATATAAATATTATATATATACATATATATATATATATATCACTAATCATAGACTGTTAAAAGCTAAAAGGGATTTAGGCTCATAAAATACAATCTGCTTAACCTTGAAGTGAGGAGCCTGGTGCCCCAGGGCCTCCCCAGTTTACACAGCAAGTGATTCGTGTGGGATTGTGGGCAAGTCTCCGAAGTGGCAGCTAAGAATTTGATTTGTTCAAAAACCATGCCAATTGTGAAGATGAAGTCAATAAAACAAATAGCACTATGTCTGTCGTGTTCCAGTGTTGGCTGGATGAGGATCATGATGAGGATTAGCAGCTTTGTTCCAACAGGACTATATTGAAATTAGGAGATTGGATCTCATGGTCTTTTATACTGGATCCCTTCTTGTAGCCACACACATGGTCTCTGTGTGCATTGTACAACAATGACATTCTCCACCAATTGTTTGTCTGGCCACAATCACCATTTATTCACATACCGTACAAGTTCTTGTCTGGTTTCAACTGAGCACACAATGAGAATGTCTTATAATTTTTTTTTAAAAGAAAGCCAAGCACTTTGGGCTTCTCAATACAGATGTCGCCAGAAATGGCATGCAAAGCCGGAGAGTGGCATGATGACCACCCAGTTCTCCTGCGGGAGCCCCAGATTATGCACGGTGTCCTATCTTTATTACAAACAGCACCCTTTTTAACTCCTAAAAATGCCTAAATCTAGAAAATGAAGTGTGCGATCTGAGTTTCATTTCCAAATTGGCTTCAAAGTTAAGCAGAAAGCTACTTTCAAGATGTTGGCAAGGTTATGAATGTGACCTAGGCTACAATCCAGAAGTTGTCACTTCACTGCAGGTGGGACAATAAGGAATTTCCTGTACTCAAGGGGGAGGCTAGATAGTTTTCTGGGTAAGCCAGGTGACGACTTATAGGGGAACCAGCTGATTACATACTACATTTTAGTATGCAACAACAAATTGTAAATAGATGCAAAACACTTCCCTCTTTATGAATGGATGCAAGAAACATGCAAATCCTCCTGCACTATTCACTCATGGAAGGCTGCCCCCTGGCTCCGTGCTTGGGTCTCTGAGCAGCTGCATCCCAAGCCTCCTGCTGCATGACCTGGCTATTACCTGCAGCTTTTACATTGCATGTTGTTACTAACACAGACAATAGCATGCGTGAGAGACAACATTATTATCGCTGCAGAAACACGCTGTCTCCTCCAGGGCACAGAGCAGGACCCCCTCTAACTAACCATCACGACGCAGCTCCGAATGTCACTGTCACAAGTTATGTGCACCTAGGCTCTCCACAATGCTTGGACCATAACATACAATTAACGCTAACAACTCGGCAGCAGAATACTGTTCACTTCCAATGTAAACGTAACGGGGGCTTAAGGGAACACATCCTAACGCAATAACCTTATCTTTGTCAGGAATATTTTCTGATTATAATAGAAACCTACTGACATTTACTTAGAGTCATGGAAAATGTAGTGTAAGGTCGTGATGGGAGAGGCATCCCACAGGGCAGTGGTAGAACATGCTGTTAGGTCTCTTATCTGATGGGCTCAGATAAGAAACAGAGCGCCGGAGTTTGGAAAATTCTTATGATCACTTGAAAATAAGAGAGTATTTGAACAAATTTAAAAATCTAGTCACTGTGAAGGCTGGTATTGTCCTGGTATAGCATGTGCAGTATAAGTAATTAACCTTATCATTAAAAAAATTAGTGTATGACATAAGATACAATGTATTCCCAGGGCCTACTCAGGCTCACTCTGGGCACACACTCTCTCCATGACTTACGCCTGAAACTGAAGTACTGACTATATTCAACATGAAGTAACCTTGTCATCTTAGAATTTAGGGTGCTGCCAGGGAGACAGATGGGACAAGCAGAGGCATCCAGCCGCCTCACTAATCCTGGTGACAGTCCTTTACAGAAACCGTTGTCATAAGACTTGATGCTGTGTATGTCCCACCTTCCCTTCTCCATTTCCTGAAAGCTAAGATTGTAAGGGCTGGGTCAGGCACAAGCTCATTCTGCCTGGCGTTTACTGCTCTTGCCCTTATGCGAGTACCTTCTCACTCCTGAGAAAACTATAGAAGGAGCTACCCGGTCACTGGCAGGAAAAGTATAGAGAAAAAAAAAGAAAAATCCTAGACAAAGTAAAGGCAGGGAAACTGACGATCAGCAAAATTTTTTTAAAAAGAAAAGAAAAAAAAAAAGCTTAAAAACACTCTGCCTTTGTGTTCTGAGTTGACCCAGAAAGGAACGAGGATCGACTGATGTCGGTTGTTTACGGAGCAGTCAATCCGAGATGTTATCCTCACCCGTGCTTTTCAGGTAAAGAAACCTGACTCAGCGAGGTGAACTAAGTCACACCGCTGTTTTCCTTTCACTTCCTCAAGGTGGTTTTTCTCGACCGGGCTTCGTGTAGGAGTGTTCGGCAAATGGTGTTAGGTAATCTGGAGGTTTGAGGAACATGCTGCTTACTAACAAGAGCCAGTTAGAGGAAAACGTAATTAAGGGAAGCTGGTCACACAAATCCCTAGCAGTACAGCTGTGGGGGGTGGGGGAGGGAAGCACCTAATCTTTCATATGAACACATCAGGCGTGGATAGTTTACAGCAGCAATGAGATCCCAAAGCCTTCCTTGTGCAGCGTCTAAGAACACTTGCTCTGGTCTTTACTAAATCAGCGACAGCTTAGGAATTGTTGCGGATCGATCCTTTATTTGGTGCCTGGGGGAGGGGTTCCGGCGGCCTTTGGGGCGCCCTGTCGCAGTCGTTGCCGGCCTCGGATTAAGCACTCGGTGTACCACTGCTCCAGCTGCAGCTGCCGCTTCCGGTTCTGCAGGCGCCTGCGGGTGGCCTGCGCCTCCCGGCACTGCCGGGCCTGCTGCATTAGACCGTCCAGCAAGCGCTGGTTCTCTGTGTGGAGGTCGTGGCAACACTCCACAGCGAGCCTCTCCGCCACGGCCTGCAAGGCCTGGGCCTTACTTTTCGGCCCCTTTCTTTTTGTCTTTCCCAACAGGCCCCCGTCTGGCTGGCTCAGCTGCTTCTCCAGCAGCGCTTTCTCCTGGACGTAGTCAGCGTAGGCCTTGGCCTTCAGCTCACCCCGGGGTTTCTTTAGCTCTTCCTGCAACATCTGTATTTCTCTGTCCTGCTTCTCCTTCACTAGCGAAATGTCTCTCACGGCTCGTAACTGCCGCTTCAGATCAAATTCCTTCTTCTCCTTCTCCAAGAGCTGTTTCTGAAGTTCTGACGTTTGCTTCGCGTACTTGGAGGCTGACTCTTCTCTCCTTTGTTGGATTTCCCCACTTTCCTGTGCATACTTATCCCACAGCTTGCTCATTTCCCTTCTGTACTCTTCGGTTTTGTTGGTCAGGTGATCCAGCATGAATTTAGTGTCAGCCTCGACATGGAACTTTTCACGGAGTAGCTGCCTGGTTTCTTCCAATACTGTTCTCTGCTGGGCTTGAGCTTCTTTGACTTGCTTGTCCAGCTTCATCACCTCCACAGTCTTTTCCATAAGCCGCATGGCTGCCTTTGTTGGCTCCTCCGGTTTCAAAAAATTACTTATCAGACTCAGATATGGTGTAAAGGTAATACTGGAGGGCGCTGTGAATCTGCGCCCGGGGTCCGGGCCTTCCTCCCGCAGGTCGCTGAGAGCCACCGAGGCCCAGGAGGTGTTTTCGGAGACCTGCAGCTCCCGCTGAATGCTGCAGCGTGAGGAACGCCCGTGCGATTTCTGGGCTCTGGGCTCAGCCCGCGGGTCACCGCGCCGCCGGGTCCCGGCCGAGGAGGACTTGAGCGGCACCCCACTCTCCTCAGGGCCCTTGAGCGCCACCGCCGGCGTGGACGGTGCTCCCGGCCTCTCGGTTAACTCGGTTAACTCGGTCCGGGATGGTCCTGGGGTCCCCGCTGGCTCGGCGGTCCTGGTCGGTGCGGCCCCGGCACTCTGGTTGCTGGCGGCGCTGCTCCCTGCCCCCGGGGCGCCGCAAGTGCTTTTTCTCTGGAGGTGGAGGCAACACGCCAGGGAATTTCTGTGGCCAGACAGGCCGGTGGGCCGGGGCCCCTGCGCCTGCAGCGCCTTTCCGACCACGCAGAGCTGGCCCTCCCCCGGCCACCTGCAGCCCCGCTCCCACTGCCGCGCGCTCCCCTCCATCGCGCTGAGGGCGCTCCGGGGCGGGGTTGCACTGGGAGTTGTCGCTTCGCCCTCCCCTCTCCCGCGAGCTAAAGTTCGGTGGAGCCTGAGCCGGTTCTACTGTCTTTCACAATCTGGAATGTGGAACTGGAACCGTTGGTGGCGCCCCAGGCACGTTTCCATGGTGACCAGGCAAAGGGGCAGAGCCAGCTGAGTGCGGGCGGGGGGCGGGGGCGTCGAGGCCCGGCCCCAGTGTCTGTTGGACTTCGGAATATTTTTTTTGGGGGGGGGGAATCTGAAGTTCTTATGAGGGGGGGATTGGTAGCCCTCTGCTGCTTCTCGGTGTCTTAGTTTCTTGATAGTTTTTCTGTCCCTGGGATGAGGGGGCGTCAATGGTGTATTTGCTCTGAGGCCCCCCTCTTGTATTTGCCAGCAGGCCGTCAATTATCCCTGGGTTTCGGGGGGTCTATTTCGGTTGCCACAGCTTTTCTGGGGACAACGGCAGCTGCACCAAATCTCGCGTCTGAGCAAGACTTGGTGCATTCCTGGGTTCTTCTCTTGGCCATCACAGACTATAGCCTCTTGGCTTCAAAGCCCCCGCCCGGGACGCTGCGGTCTTTGTGCCGTCTCCAGGCCGCGTGGGACTCCAGGAGCTGGATGGTCTGGCTCTGCGGCTGGGCGGGAGCAAAGCCCAAGGCCAGGGGCTTGAAGGAAGGCACCGTAACAGGGCTGGGACTCTGGGCCCCGAGGAACCAGAGAAGAAAGGCGCCAGCGCGCAGCAGCCAGCGCCCGGGCTGTCTCCAGGAGGGGTCCGGTGGCCTGGCGAACTGCGCCCCTGAGGGCCTCTGGCCCTCACAGGTTGCCCTTCGGGGGCCGGGGGATGCGGCTCGGAGCCGAGGCTCCTTCTGCGAATTCCAGCAGGGTTCACGTGGGTGAGCAGGTGCGAGCTCTGCTGAAAAGATTCGTCTATGGCGAGGTTTCAAAGGGTGTTCTAGGGAAAGCTTTTTAAATTACACTATTTACCAAAAAGACTATCTTTATGTATTACTGGCCTATTGAAATTTTTCTTTTCAATCAAATTCCATTCATTTCTATATAATGCATGTAACAGCTACCATGCAAATATAACCATAACCAAACATTGTCCTCATTTTTGCTACTCCTCCTATTTCTTCCTACTTCTATTTGTGAAAGTTTGAATCCCTCCTTGATGCCCGCAGGTCCATAATTATCATTGTTTCATGACACCCACACTATAAATTGTTCATTATTTTGAGTAATGCCTTAATTTCAAATATACCCATGTATGCTTTCTGCTTTTTCTTCTGTATTTTTCCCCTATGTTGGCTCAAAGACTTCTGGCGTCTGATTTTTCCCCGATAGTGTCCCGAGGCCGGCAGTGCTGCAGGGGGTTAATGCACCAAGCGCATCCGCACTTCCTCCATTCCACTCTTACTTCGGTCCTGTTCTCTCCCTTTGTTCTCCTGTTTCCCTGCATCTGGATGGTCCCTTCCGCCCCGTCTGGTCTGTTCTTCGACCGCTTCCTGCAAAATGGGGCTCCCCCTTAATTTCCTCCCGACAGCTTTACTTGACTAAACCCATTGCCGTTTACCCCGAGTCGTTCTTCTGTACATGTAGAAGACCTCTACATAGTCTTCTGTAAATAATACATTATAGTATCATGTGCTTGGTATTTGTTCTCGTAATTTCTGTTCAGTTATTTAGTTACGTACTTTGGGATAGTTTACTATACACCCCTGTCATCTCTGAATTTTCCTTCTTATTAGCATTAATTAGAGCCGTTATATAATGTAAATGTGTACTCAGTTGCTTAATGCCTGTCTCCTCTGTTCGCAACTGTCTGTCTCCTCTTAGAATGCAAGCACTTTCACCTCATTGCACTTGGGTGGACCTTCAGAGCCTAGAATAATACAAGGGCTGTCCGGAAAGTATCCATCCGTGTACTGTGAAAAATAGAGACATTTATTGAAGGAATACAAGTTACGAGAAACGTGGTACACAGGACGATGACACCTCAGTCCCCTTCAACGTAGGCACCACGGGACCTCATGCAGTTCTCCCAACTGCAGCACAATGTTCCTTCTGCTCTGGTAGCAGAAGCTACGGAATGAATTTTGCCACGACACGTTTCATGCCGAGATCCTGTGTGAAAATCTCAGACACAGTAGTTTTTTGGAATCCCTGTTTCAGCTACTAGTTCTCACACTGTCAGTCACCAGTCTTTGCTGATGGCAGCCCGGACATGTTCCACATTCTCAGGTGTCTTGCTTGTCACAGGCCTTCCAGAATGTGGGTCACTTTCAACAATTCTCGGCCATCTCCAAAGTGTTTGTGCCACACTTTTCCTTGTGCTGCACTCATTGCATCGTCCCCGAAAGCCTTCTGAATCAACCAAATAGTTTCTGCAGAGAAATGCTCAAGCTTAATGGAAAATTTGACGCAGATTCACTGCTCTACTCGCTCAGTCATTGTGACAGCCGCACAGTACACATGCTCACTTAACAGTGTCTACCGCCCCCACTGACTAGTACAGTGAAGTCGTCACTGTTCACGCATGCGCATTCCAGCCCCCTCTCCTTGGCTGCCAGGTTGCACCATTGTTGTGAAAATCATTCTCCTTATACTAACAATGGCTGGGCTTTTTCTGGACAGACCGTTGTATACGTAGTAAGTGCTGAGTAAATATTATGTCTTTGAAATACCATTCAGGATATTAGTAGAATGGAACTGCTTACAAATGCTTGCTGATTTTTTAAACACCATTTTGTCTCCACTCCCTCACACTTTCTGCATCAGTTGGGAAGTAATTAATTGCAAGATGCAGAAAACCTAATGGAGTAAAACTAATGGACTTAAAAGACTCAAATAAAAATAAACTAGTTACAAAGGTGGGCATTTCTAGTATCTGTTTGACAGTTCCATGTTGTCACCCAGGACCTACGTTCTTCCCACCCTCTCCTTCTCCATCCAAAGCTTGTCAGTTTTCAGTCGCACTCATGAAATGTTACAGCCCAAAGATGGTGACCACATTCTCATGCTTCAAAGTACAGAGCATATGGCAAGGGAAATAATGTCAAAAAGATCAACTCACTCTTGCCCTGACTGCTGTGGCTCAATTGGTTGGATGTCATCCTGCAAAACAAAAGGTCCCCCATGCAATTCCCAGTCGGGACACATGCCTGGGTTACAGGTTCAGTCCCTGGACCCGGCACATACAAGAGGCAACAGATCAGCATTTCTCTCTTGCATGGACAGTTCTCTCCCTCGTTTTCTCCTTCCCTTCCCCTCTCTCTAAAAAATAAATATATATATTTTAAAATCTACTCAATCTTGTCAGAATCCCAGCCCCAGCAGCCTTTTTCTGGTTCCAGTGGCAAGAACTGAGTCATGTGACTACTTTTGGACTCACCGTGAGCAGAGGAAAAGCACTGCCATTAATGATCCATCCTGATTCATCCCATTTTCTTTTTCAGCAAAAGGAATGGAAAACTGCTGGTTATGGAAGCAACATTGTGCGCACTTTTCTGTTATGTTACATGAACCACATTAAAGTTCTCTTTACTTCAGAACCTTCAAGCTCTTCAGCACATTTTCCTCCTGATTCTTTTCATCATTCTTTTCCTTCGGAAAAATTTCTTCTTAAAATTGCCTAATGAAACACTTACTTTCTCAAGCAAAATACTTCTTCCATTTATTTTTTTACATACTCAAGTTCTATATTCTAATTCTTTTTCTTTGTAAACATGCAGAGACATACCACATTCTCTTTTTAGAAAGATTTTGTTTATTTAGTTTTAGAGAGAAGGAAAGGGAGGGAAAAAGAAAGGGAGGGAATCATTGACGTGAGAGAGAAACATCCATCAGTTGCCTCTCGCACGCCCCCAACCTGGGACCTGGTCTGCAACCCAGGCCCCAGTGGAGAATCACACCAGGAACCTTTCAGTTTGCCAGAGGACACCCAACCCATTGAGCCACACCCGTCAGGGCAAGACATCACAGTTTCTAAAGAGACATATATCATTTTGTCCCTCCCTTTCCATTCTTCATATTCATGTCTGTTTCTGAACTGTATTAGAAATCTCAGAGACCAAGAAAATGTCTTCTGCTCTCTTTATAATGGCCGGCAGCATTTCGTAGGTGCTAAATATAGTTGACTTGTCCTTTCCCTTTACGGTTAATCAGAGATATATAGGCTTTCACAGGAAGCAAAAGGAATCAGACCTTTATAGTCCAGAAGCACTGGCCACATTACAAACACCCTCTACTAACTCGTTTATATTAACCTCTTTGCATGCTTGCTTGTTGCTGTCATCAGAACATCACAGAACACAGTGTATTTCATTCCACCTTCCCACCATCTTTCACAGAGGCAAAAAAAAAAAAAAAAGGAGCTGGGTTTCCATGGTAACACAAGTGTGATAGGGGTATCTGGGCATAAGTGAGACAATACTCAGATTCCGTGGGGAGAGGAGAAATAAAGTTTTTCTTTTTCTTTTTTTCTCCCAGCCATGACTTTCAGAAGCTAGAGAGACCCTGAGGTGTCACTGTACAGTGTCAACTCCTCACTGTCACACAGGTTTATGGCTCTTGGAGGAAATGTAATGTAACTTTACCTCATTTTTACTTTGTCTTTCTCATAAACAAATGAATGGAGACATCGTAAGTTCTTATTTCTAAAGTCACTGTCAGACTAGAAAGTTCCCACTGGGAATGATGAAAGGATCAGGAGACAGACGCACCCAAACCTTCAGAATTCTCCACACACCCTGACACCCTTTCTTAGAGCAGCCAATCCAGGGGCCACATCAGCCTTGCAGTTGCCTTCAAAGGGCCACAGTAATTTTAGGACTGTGTAAATGCAACGACTCCTTAACTGCTAAGGAGATGAAACTTCATTTGGCCCCTGAAGGCAACCAGGAGGCTGCTGTGCCCCCCCCCCGCCCCCGCTGGAAATGAGTTTAACACTCCCCTGCTAATCCTTCAGCCAGCTTTTCACATACAGCCTCGAATCAATATGAGAAAATACGCTCTTCCTTATGTTTCTTTTGCCTGTCAGAGATCAAAAATCTACTTTCATGGCGGCATTGCTAATGAAAACTGAGGAGGCCTATCAGTATGAGACTCAGGAGGGGCGACTATCCTAAGACCTGCAGTCTCTCCACTTCTTATCAAGAAAGTCGGCATTGGTGAAAGGTCAGGGAAAACAACCTGAGAAATGTCTACAATTCTCTGACTCAATATTTGTGAGTGTGTGTGTGTGTGTGTGTGTGTGACGACTTCTACCAGATGCAGTACAATCCTGAGCTTCTAGGAACCTAGAAATGAAATGAGTTGCTAAGGTTACATTCTGGACCCAGAATCCCAGTGCAAATTTCTAAAATTAAAAAAAAAAAAAAGCCAATGGACCTTTATTCCTTGCAAAGTGAATGGTTTTTCAGCTGCACGGGTACTAAACAGAGAAAAAGTTTTGATGCTTCTGGACTCTCTCACTGGGCCCCCAACAAGCCTAGAAATTCTTACCACAGCAATACACAATTTGAATCTTAAAAGAGACAGTCGCTTTCTTTTTCTGAAAGAAGCTTAGCTGTTACTAAGCTAAAATAACCACAAAATAAGCAGACAAGTTTAACCCAAAAAGCCCACACGTGAAACTTCATTTCAGATCTATGTGAGCTCTTTTCATTTTAATTCACTTATTCATATTACTAGCTTAGAATGAGATATCAGATCCTTTTTGGTTTCAATTATCTTAAAATATTCCTGATTCTTAGTTCTCTTGCAAATTGCCTTTACTGCTAATTCTAGCAGCTCAAATATAACCTCTCATAGTCTGATGATTTGCAATCAAGAAATAATGACTGAGTTCTGTTTTACTACACACAGTGACAGGGCACTCGCCTCCATTATTTCAAACAAAAATTTGGTGTGTGTTGCACTATAGCAAGACAATGCAAGTGTAAATTATCCATTCTAACATAATGGAGCCACAGCGCTGTAGGCCGCTGCCAAATCTGAGTACATCTTTGAAGTAGTTTGGTAACTACAGAAACGTGAGCAAAGAACACCTGGTCTGTCCAGGAACTCGGACCAAAATCCCCTCTATAATGACCTTCTGAGGAAGAAGAGTGAGTTGGTGTGCCGTGATCAAACGCGAGAACTACGCAAACTTATTATTCCCGAGAAATATGAGCTAGCAGTGGATGAACGTAGACGAGTTCAAGAAGGACACAGTTTAAAGGAAGGTAAATTCAATAACCGGTTACTACAAAATATAACCCAGAAATATTTGAAGATGTACCTTCTCCTAAATTTGACGTTATGGGTGGGAGAGTGTGCGTTGTAACTAAGATTTAATGCTGCAAAGGCACAGAACGGTACGTTTTAAAACTGCGTTGTTAACAATGTTTTAGGAGGTACGCACGGAGGACCCGTGCAACTGCTGCAATACGTCTCCCTAAGCAGTGGAAAATGTCTCACACTAAAGACAGAAGTCCCTGTTTCCTCGATTCTTCCCACGATTCAGTTCATCTCCCTCAGCACTATATTCATGCCCATCATTTAGGCAGAATATCACGGAGACGAAGTTAAAAGCGGAATTCTTCACTCTCGCCTGAAACGTCTTATTCCTTTGCCACAAGAGAGCGCAGCGACTGGCCACTAAGTCCCTGACCCCTCCCGAACCTCACCAGCCCTGGAGATGTCTCCGTGCTACCTGCCGTTGGTGGCTAGGGAATTGCGCGTTCTGGTTGGCTCAGCTCAAGCCTTCGTCACTTGTCAGCTCAACTACGATTGGCTGTCAGAGCATGCACAGGGGCAAAAGACCAGCCAGGCCAGGGAATGGGAGGTGGCTTGGCTGATCCAACGACTAGAGTTTTCCCCATTGGCTGATGGGTTGGCGTCACGTGTTTCTGCAGCGACTCTCTATTGGTGGACAGTGGAATCATGGGGTCCAGAGACGTGAACTGGTTGGCTGGAATGAATTCCAGCTTCCCTAGGTATCCCAGCGGTTTGTTGCTATGAGGTGTCCCTGGGTACTTTACTGCGGTTCGCGGCTCCGCTCTCCCGGTTTTCCAAGCGCCCGTAGCTGACAGGGCGTGGGAAGAACACCATTTCAGTGGAGCAGTGAAGAAGGGCGGGGCTGGGAGGAAGGTGGCGAGACTCCCCGCGACGTCCCCTGAAGTGGGCCCGGCTGCTAGTTTTTGGCCTTCGCTCCGGGCAGTGGGCTGCAGTGACCGGTCACCTCTGTCACCTCTAAATGTCTTGATGCTTAAAGCTTCTTTTTGTTGTGTTTATATTCGACCCCTTAAAAAAGCTTCTCGTTCTGTTTATACAAGATAAAAATCAAAACTCAGGAATGGTGACAAAATGAGTGGTGTCTGGCAAGACCCTCATGCCAAGACCTCCTTTTTGGACTTGTCCGTCTCTTTTCACTTCCCTTCTCAGCGATTGCTGAGACTGCCCTAGTCCCTCTAACATCTTGTCTCCGCCAAATTCTGAGCGTGGGATTCTCAGGTTGACGCGGTTCCCGTGTCCGGCGGACGAACTGCGCATGCTCATTACATTGGCCCCGGATTTCGCCTTGGAGTGCGAGTGAGGGTACTGTTGGGTGTCCAAGGTGGTTGTTTGTCTAAAGGCAGGCGGAGGGTACCGGGCTACGCAGAGCATCCCGGGAGCGCGCGCTGCCGGTCGCCTAGGCGACGGGGTGCAGGGGCGGGGCTGAGCCTCCGGGGCCCCGCCCCTGGCCTCCGGTCCCGCCCCCGGCAGTGCTGCGGCTGGAGCTTAGGCTCGGGCGCGCGCTTCGGCGCCTGGGTGAGCGGCGGCGGTGGCGGCGGCGAGGCGGGGAGCTGGGCGTGGAGGCGCGAGGGGCGGGGCAGGGCGGGCAGCACTGCGGGCCCGCGGCTCGGGCGGCTCCGGCGGCTCCGGCGGCTCTCACTCGCTGTTCGATCTGAGTGTCTGCCCGCGCTAGCGGGGCCGCATTGCCGCTTGGCTTGGCCCATGCCCGCTGCTCCCTCCTCCAGCGCCCGGGGGCTGCAGAGGTTGTGAGGTGGGGGAGGCCGCATAAGGCGGCGAGATCGGCCGCCGGGGCAGGGTCCGGGGACGCAGCGCGGCGGGCGTAGGTCTATGTCGCGGGCGGTGGCGGCGGCGACGGCCGCGGAGGGACGATGCGCGAGTACAAAGTGGTGGTGCTGGGCTCGGGCGGGGTCGGCAAATCCGCCCTGACTGTGCAGTTCGTGACCGGCACCTTCATCGAGAAATACGACCCTACTATCGAGGACTTCTACCGCAAGGAGATCGAGGTGGACTCCTCGCCGTCGGTGCTGGAGATCCTGGACACCGCGGGCACTGAGCAGTTCGCGTCCATGCGGGACCTGTACATCAAGAACGGCCAGGGCTTCATCCTTGTCTACAGCCTCGTCAACCAGCAGAGCTTCCAGGACATCAAGCCCATGCGGGACCAGATCATCCGAGTGAAGCGGTGAGAGGGCTCGGGGCACGGGCTGGGGGCTTCGCTGTGCAGCTGGGCAGCCGCGGTCCCGGAGCAGCTCACCCTCTTCCTCTCTGTGCTCCGGGGTGGCTCTGTGCTCCGGGGTGGCCCGCGGGGCAGGCTGTCTAGGGAGATGTCTCTGGGGTCTTATGCTTTATACTATTTTTTCATTTTGCATCACCATCATCATCATCTTGAATCTCAAATTTGATGCTTTGTTTCACAACTCAAATTTGGCATCCTGTGAACCCAGAGCACAGCTCTTTGTCTCTTCGGTATTACTAGTAGCGCTTGTGTAGAACCCCAAAGGAAACAAAGTTTAAAACTTGCAGGGGGTGGAAGGGTGAGTTCGTTTGTGGTGGGAAGAGGGCAGCTCTTCCCATCACAAGTGTAGTGGAGACATTTTCGGGCTGAACAACAAGAAGAAATCTACTTTTGCAGTATTTGACAGCAAAAGCTGCTCACACATATAGTGTACTAGTAAAAATGTCAAGTCGAGGGGGAAGAGACCTTGTGCTCACCTCCAAAAATTGATTGGTGCCAAGGCGTTTTTAAAATTGAACTCTTCAGTTAAGACGAAACTTTAAAGACAGATTATCAAATTACTCGAGGACATCTTAACAGCTTGGTGGGGCTGAAAGAATATTAACTTAAAAAAAAAAATCTAGCTGTCTTACTCTCCCCCCTCAGAAGAAAAAGAAAAAAAGGCATTGCTAGAAACAAAACAGAAGTTTCTTCAAAGCCATAACTTAAGTATATTACCAAATTCTTTGGGTTTTTAAAAAGTATTTATCTAAAGTTAATGCAGCTAACCTCTTTCATTATATAAACTCTTTTCTAAAGTGTGTACTTTGGAAATATGGCCATATTTAAATAGCTTCAAGTGTTTGTTTTCTCTAAATGGACTTAGTGTTTATTTCCTTATTTCAGGCATTAGAAGTATAATATCTCAGTTCAAAGTTTTAGCAGAAATTTTAAATTACTGTTTAATTGCACATCAATTCTTATAATTAGTTAGTAATTGCTGATAATTTTGGTGTGTCACTATTTTTCCCCACATAATTCTCCTCAAAATTGGAAGACATTTACAGAAAGATAGTTGTAGGTGTAGACAAAGTCACATCACGAGTCAGTTTGAGTCTGTTCATTGAGAAAGAGCAAGGACCAAGTCCTGTGAACTCAGGGGGTGCTCAGAAACACATTACCAGCAGTTGATTTTTAACTGGAGGGATGAGATCAAAGGGGAAATCCTCTCCCTGAGATCAGCCCCCCTACCCCCGCCATTAGCTCATTGACTGTACACTGTAATAGCTAAACTAAAATTTTGCATATTATTTCTTATGTTAAATTTCAAACTGGAATAAAGTGGATATTTCTATGGCCTCTGCTGCTGTCCTAAAGTAGAAATCTGGTAGCTCTCTACTTCTCCATTCTTACTTAATTTTGCAAATTATTTACTTTAGTGTATCTAAAGTATTATCATTCAACATGTAAGCAATATTCAAAAATTATTGTTGTGTTTTACTTTTTCATACTAAGTTTTCAAAATCAAGTGTATAACTTATACCCACAGGCCATATTTTAGACTAGCCACGTTGTAAGTGCTCAGTCAGTCGCCACGTGTGGCTGCTGGCCACCATATTGGGCAACGCAGGTCTAAGGTGAATGTATCTGGGAAGATGCTTGCATCTCTAAGCTTCAGTTTCCTTGTCTGTTAAACTGAGGATAACATACATCCTCAGAGTCTTTCTTAGAATTAAATGAGGTATATTTTAAGGTGCCCATCACAATACCTTGAACAAAGAAATGCCAAAATTCCAGTTGTTCTTTTTATTAATGATAACCTTGTCACCCTACCTCCTTTAAATTTTATTCTTAATATAAATGTTATAGGAAATAAATCCACGATTGCATTTTGAAATTCATTACGGAGTGTAGACAAGAAGAGGCTAAAAAGCAATAAGGTTAAAGTAATCCTTAAAAAGATTTGCTGATGGTCTCGGCAAATATTTTTCCCTATTGAAGTCGAATGGCCCTGGCTGGGTGGCTCACTTGGTTGAGAGTGTTGTTCCAATACATCGAGATTGTGGTTCATTTTCTTCCCACCCCCCACTTCCTCTCTGGCTAAAATCAATAAATAATTTTTTTTAAAAAAACCTTATGGGCAGAAGAATGAACATTTAATTTCAACTCTGGCGCTAATGCTCCAAACAGTGAAAGGGAGCTTTTCGTTGAATTGTTATTTTACAGAAGGTTTTGCTTTTGTTTTTAATATATATTATTGATTATGCCATTACAGTTGTTCTATTCCCCCCTTCATTCCCCTCCACCCTGCACACCCCCTCCCCCACCATTCCCCCCTTTAGTTTATGACCACGTGTCTCAAGTTCTTTAGATTCTATATTTCCCCTACTAATCTTGCCCTCCTCCCTATCTATTTTCTACCTCCGTCTATGCTACTTATTTTCTGTACCTTCTCCCCCCTTCTCCTACGGAAGGTTTTGCTTTTTAAAAACATAAAACAAGCCAATACTTCCTTAGATATTTTCAGGTGCATAGATGCATCCATATATAGACAGCCTTTTGTCAAAGCCAAGTGGACCAACTGAAAATTACTATATTTATAAATTGATACGCTTCCTCTTTTTTAACTTGACTTTGGATGAGATTGCACAAGGAAGAGTGATAGGATTACAGAAAATGTTTCAAGTGAAATAAAACGAGAATTCTTTTCCATTTCATGATTGCTTTTCTCATTTCGACCAGGGTAAGCCATGGTCCTCCCTTGAAGTATCATGGAACAAGGCATGTTCTTCTTAGAGTAAAGCCCAGGAATCTTCAACATGCCTTTCCCAGGCAGGCGGAGTGTGCTGTTGCCGAACCCCACCCCCACCCCCTTTGCAGCATCCTCTTGCAACACTCCCCTTCGTTTGGGTTTGGATACTGGGACCTATTAGTCTCTTCAAAGTGTCCATCTCTGAGCTTTCTTTCTACCTGTGGAAATCTGCCTTTTGCAGAGTTCACTCCCCTTGCTTAAAAGACTTCTTCCTCCCCAATTGAATTAACTCCTTCCCATTTTCCCACTTGAGATTAACTTCTTGCCTGGCTCTTCTCTCACCCAGAGAGGCTTCAGACTTCAATTGCAACCCACACTTCCCACCTGTAGCTCTCATGAAAGCTTACTTCTTGTGTAATGATTTACACACAGTTGGTCATTGAACTTGAATTCCATGAGGCTAGCCCAGCAACAGGTACATAGGAAACAATAAAAAAAAAATATGTTGAAAAAAAGCTAGTGTTCAGAAGGAAAAGTATTTTTACTGTCCTTTAACGTCAGTTTTCCTAAACATCTTCATTTTATAGATGAAGGAAATGATTCTTTAAAGCTCGTTTTGCAAATGGAGTAGATGGTCTTCCTTCAGCACGAACGTTCTATGAGAGTTCCTCTATCTAGTTAGGGCAACGGGGGAAGAGGTGAAGTTCAATATGAACCTTAAAAAATCAGGAGCACAATGTCAGGAGTTGGGAAATGCACAGAATATGTTTGTTAGCTGTTAAATCAACCAGATTAGCTAAACTAGGAATTTATGTAGAAGTGTGAGAGGACATAAGGCTTAAAAATGTAAACCTAAATGATAGAAAGTTGAGGACTTTGGACTTGATCTTAGTAGTCAAGGCCCAGGATCCTAACTGTTATAGAAATAATAATATAGTGGTGGTATGATACATGGCTTAGTGGCAGTAGACCACAATTAAGAGGAAGAGTTGTGAAATATTGTGATAACCTAGTTTCTGTATGAAGTATAAAGATTCTAAATTAGCATGGTGTCTGTAGAAACAGAAAGAATGGACGTAAATAATGTCGTTAAGAATGAATGAATTAAACTGAATGGGAGAGGAAGAGGGAAAGGTCAAGAGTAACCTTGACTTTTGAGAATGAGTGAATAGAATTACGGAGGAGCAGCAGAGGGAGATTACATCGAGCTTTGGTGATGCTACTCATCCAGGTAGATGCACCTAATAAGAATAAGAATATTTGAGTCAAGCCTGAAATGTCAATTTATGTGTGAATCTGAAGACTTAGGATGAGGCATGCGGTTCAGATTTGTAGAGTAGGTGAAGTTAGTTGGGTAGAGCATAGAGAGACAGAAATGAGTAAATGCGGCCAGAAATAGAAATTAGGGATGAATGTAGCCAAGGATAGAACTTGAGAGTTGTAAACTATATAGAGACTTCATACTTTGTACTAGGCTGGAAGGCATTTTAAGATTGGGGGAAAGATTGAAAAAGGGTGGTATGCACTCCCCAAAGTAAATGTTACTGTTCTTTTATTAGTATTTCTATATCATTTAAGTGATCATACTTTCAGACAACAGAAATGATTGTTTGCACTTTTTCTCTTGACATTCCTTTCTCCAGACACCTCCTTTGCCAGTGTGGTACCTCCAATAACCAAATTGGAATTGGAATCTGGGCTTCCAAGCCCTGGGTCCCACACACCACAAGGTTGTGGGTTAGCTTTCCAGTCGGGGCACACACTGGGGTTGCGGGATCGGTCCCCGGTTAGAGTACGTACAGGAGGCAATGGACCGTTCACTGTTTTTCTCCCTCCCACCCTTTCTGAAATCAGTAAGCATATCTGGAGTAAAGATTTTTTTAAAAATCTGGTCCTCCAGGGTACAGAGCCCAATATCCACGGGTCACTTTTTATAGCCCAGAGTAATGTTTTACGTAAATTTATGATTTTGTGTTGGGCTGAATTCATAGCCATCCTGGGCTGCATGTGGCCCGCAGGCCACTGGTTAGACACCCCTGCGTGCCCCCCCCAGCTCGAACATTCTATGAGTACTTCTGTCCAGGTGGTTCAATGAGGAAGAGAGATCAAGTTGAATATGAACCTTAAAGAACCAGCCTGTAATCTGCAAATCTTGTCTCATTAAGATTTGGTAATTATATCAATAAAATCTATAATCAGAGGAATCATTACAATG